TTCTATAAGTAAGAACCGGAGTTTTGTACCTTCAATTGACCGAAGTTGGTTGCAGCTAAGATCTAGGATCTGGACCCACAAAAGTTTTTCGACACACCCAACTCGAGAAAGTGAGAGGTTATTTAGCCGCAGACATGAATAATTATAAATGATTGAAGAAGATGGTTCTCGATATTGATGGCAGCGTTCCAGCAAAGACTCTTGATTGGAGAATAACTGCAAAAGGACATTATGAAGATAAACTCAACACTCTCTTTAGAAGATAATTTTTTTTTTTAAAATCCAATTTCTATATATTGTATCTCTTCAGAATCTCACTCAATTAGCCCTCATTGCAGTTCATTTGCCATGACAAACATCTGCTCAATAAAAAGCAGTTGATCATCAACTTTAGCCCCCCCACTCAATATGCCCTCTAGTAAACATCAGGTACTATGCTTATTTGGTCCCAGCTTATTTTTGAACTTATTTACACCAAAAAGAAAAAGCTGAGTCAAACTGTAAAAATATAAAAAGGATTTCAAGTTCAATTAAGAGGAAAAAATCTTTTTTTTTAAGAAGCTCAAAAAGAGACTCTTTTTGAAGAAGCCAGAAACCTAGACAAACGAGCACATAACAAGGAGTTCTCTTTTTCCACAGCCAAGGTGAACTCTAACATTCAACAACAAATCATGCCTAAGTGGTTAACAGAAACAAGAAAATCACCTGTCTTAGTAAGACAGAGCTGTATTCATCCTTATAGTACTGAATGTGTGGTGGATCCAATTCCATTAAATCATTGTAAAACTGAAGAACTTCTCCATAGTGGTTGCCAGCATTTGAGTCATTATATGACATCAATTGCTCACGTGCCATCAACAATCTTGCAAGTGTCAACTTTCCAATTTTACTGCAACAAAAGGAGAAATTCATAGAGAAGATCAATTAAAAATTACAGCTTGATGAACATTCCAACTTGCATAAGCGCATAACAAATAAAGGCACAGGGCATACCAGTTCACTGATAACAATAACTCCCTGCAGTGAGCTATCTCATTGTCGAGTGTCTGAATATTCCAATCCAAATTCCTTGCTTTGTCATCTATAGGCATTCTCATTTGATAGGATGAGTTAACTAAAACTGACTCTGGAGAAACAGTTTCATATGTGCAAAAGTTTTCCTCTTTCCAAGATATTCTCTTTTCATTTTCCATTTCTGTATGTTCTGAATTGTAAGGTGGCACATGCACTGTAAACATTAGTTGAGCAGCAGCAGCACAGTAAACAGAGCCACTTAAAGAGACAATGCCTTGGGAATGCGAAATGTTGACCTTTACAAGATAAGACTCTAAAGATTGGACCCCATCAGCGAAATTCAGGTGTGTCAACCAGGCTTGGGCACACTCAATATCATTTCCTGACAGTGGTCTCCAAACAAGATCTGTATTCAGATTACCTTCACATTCAACCTTGACTGTCGATGGATTTATATTTTTAACAGCTTCACTAAAGTAGAGAACGAGGGGAAGTGTTCTAGCATTAGACTTGGAACCGGCTAAAGGTGACAAAATAAAATTATCCAGCAAACTATCTCTTGTCAAATGAAGACTAGAGCCATGAGGTGGCCATGAAGAAACCAACAAAGTTGTTAACTTTACTGTCTGATCAAGAAGCCATAGATGATAAAACCAACCACTTTGATCATCTGGATCTGTAAAAAGAGCATGGCGGACGAACTCAAGCTCTTCTGTCAAAACATTCTCCTTGGGAGAATATCCTTTTACATTCTCCTTTAGCAAGCGAATCAGAAGAGCACTGTAAAAAGTCATTTGAACAAAAATTACGATAATAAATCCTTTTTGGGGAGAGGCTGACACATAAATATTTATTTAACAGCCTCCAGGAGAAAATTTTCTAAACAGCATCTAAGAATCAAACTGCTGCATTTTGATGGGATGCCAAATACGGATCTTGATGTATAGAATGTTATCAGTATCAAATACATTGTGTTATTTGGGTTAATTTAGACCCCTTATCTTTAGTGGGTGATGGAACCATAGAAATAGAAGATCAGAACTATTAAGAAAAATATGTTAAACTCTATCTAGGATGGTTTAGTCACAGTTAACACTGTGATATTAACCACAAGCTTTGATATGAATAATCCCAGTATACCTTCTGTTGTGCCAAGCAGAATAATTGCTAAAATTATCATATATCATGTCTGTTGTATATTGTAGTTCCTCCTCATCTGGAATGTTCTTCAATGCCGTTATAAACCTGAAAGAGCAGAGCAAAGAAAATGACTTGAGATGCCAAAGTCTGTCTCACTTGCATCAATTTAAAAAATCCAGGGCACCTCCTATAATTCCAAGCATGGAAATTCCGAGAATCTGCCTTCTGGAACTTGGCCAGAAGCCGTAATTCCCGATCTGTTGAAGAATGCCCTTTGCTTAGAACCCACTTACGATGATACCATGCTCCATAAGACTTATAATTGCTCCTCAATGCATTCTCCACCTAATCCAAACATTACATGAATCACATATAAAATACAGAATAAGGCAACAAGCATATTGCAGTCTATAATCCTCACCCAACCATCAGATTTTAAACAGCAAATAACACTTCCATTTAATAAACCTTCAAGCTTCAACTAACACTATCCAATTAAACCAATCACATTTTTTAGTCTTTATCAGTCCTAGTGATTAAATCCTTCATATGCCAGCTTCTAACTAAATCTCTTCATTTCAAAATCAGCTCCATACTAAAATTTCCAGAAAAGCTGCAAATTTTCTGCTGTCCTACGAAGAGTGGAATAAACATACTAGTCTAAGTTCTTCATCGAGAATTGCTTTGATAGACTCGGCATTGTTCTCAGTCTCAGATTGATTAAGTCGGAGATCTACAGCCAGCTTCCGGTAATTCCAAGCAGTGTAATGCTCCGGATTGGCCTCGAGCAGCTTCGCGCTGAGTTCTAGCGCTTCCTTATCATAACTGATGAAAAATAAAAATAAAAATTACAATAAATATTCACCAAATGAGAAACTCAAAAGCCACTTACCATCAATTATAGATTTACTTGAATTAAGAAATAAATCTTAAGGAGGTAGTATACATTTTATTGTGATGAAAGTGGATGAACTGAGTTTGAAGAGATCGAAGCTTGGCGGCTTTGATCGCTGAAGCTTCTTGCTCTTCTTGGCTTGGAGCTCTTCGTGGTCTTCCATGCATCTTTTCACACAATTTGTGGCCTGGGATCGGAGAAAGAGAAGATTCCGGCGACCGGCTTCAGTGGAAGCTTCTCTTTTTAAGTTTTGTAGAACAAAGAACGGCGATGAATTTGGCAAAACGATATCAAATAAAAGAGTTAATTACCAAAATGTCCTTGACTATCGCGAAATTATCAATTTGGTCCTCTCAACTTTGTAAACGTTAACTAATATAATCCTCCGTCCTGTCAGGCGTCAAATTTTTGGTTAAGTTGAGGGTAATTACGGAATTTCACTTCAATTGCTGTTTTTCTCCTCTTCAAGCAATGTTCTTCCATTTCTGATTTTCTTCGGTGAAGCCACAGTAGAAAAAGGCACAACTTCAACAACAGAGGCAACACAGTTCAGCTATTAACAATCAAAGAGAATATCAAAATAGCCAAACACAACAAATGCATAAGAGACAGAAAGGATATCAAAATAGCCAAACTCAACCTGTTCGAGAATCGACTCGAGGGTTTAATTCCAGAGAGCATCGCCAACTCCCCAAATCTGCTCGAGCTGAAACTGTTCAAAAATTTAGGTTTGGAGAAACTCTGATGAGCCCTTCCTCTCGAACCACTCTGAGCAGTCTAAATGAATCGACGTCGGTCGCCATTGAATTAGGATTTTTTTTTTAAGCATTAGGATTTTTCATTACTACTAAAAACACCCCTAATTCATGAAGTAATTACGTGGAAAGCCCGATCTGTCCAAGAAACAAGGTGAAATTCTTTTATTACCCTCAGTTTTAACAGTCGTTTGATGTCAACCCTAACGGAGGGAGGACTTCATCATGTAAACAAAATAGTCAAAAGATCAAATTAGTAATTTTGCGATAATCAAGATATCATTTTATTAATTAACTTCAAATAAAATGATGAAAAAAACAAAAAGAAAAATTTAAATTACATAAATCGTAACTAAATCATTCCAATTAAATATATATACAAATTTAATTTGTATACTTGTTAATTGTTCTATAAATATAATTACGAGAGCAACTCCAATGCCAATGACCTTATCGTTTAGTGGCAAAAAAGTGACTCCAAAAAAAAAAAAAAAAAAAAAAAAAAAAAAAAAAAAAAGAACTACTCAAACCTTATTATAAAAGTTAAACAAATTAAAACTTGTTCAGTAAAAATTACAGACTTAAAACATACTCTTTTTTTTTTAATTTATTATTATCAAAATGAACAATTTCAAAATATATAACTACTATTAAAAAAAAACATTACTATAATTTATTTGTGAGTAAAATGATTTTTTTCTCCCAATTGTTTTTCCATTTTATCTTAAAAGAGCATACTTTCTTCCATCAAAATGGCTTGTATATGCAAAGGGCAAATCACAAATGTACATTTAGTGGTACCATCAAGAAATTTTATCTTAAGAGCATACTTTCTTCCATCAAAGTGGCTTGTATATACAAAGGGCAAATCACAAATGTAAAGTGGTACCATCAAGAAAGTTGCATCATAGATGACAGGCTGCAAGATTGATCAGTCATGTAAAATTGAAAATGGTATATTATTGGTTTAAGCCGGTCAATTATGACACCATAGATTGATTTATCTCCTTATGATCTTTTATCGGTTAGGATCACAATGTGAAACTGACCAATCTAGTTTGATTTATCTTGTAATTTTTTACTGGTTAGAATTACAATGCAAGATTTACTAAGTAAATGACAATGATTTTCCTCGTAACCCAATAAAAGAAGGATATAGTATCACAAAATGTTAAATCAAGATGTTAGAGAAATCGTTTGAATCAAGTCAAGCTAAAGCTGCAATGCCATTTGCATGGATGCAATGGTTTTTTTTTTTTTTCTGTTAATCACACAACAAATGCAACACCACAATTCAGAACCTTTTGTATCAAGGTTGACAGTTTTCAAATGGATGATTTTACATAAATTTAATCATCTCTTAATATAGGCTTAAATATAGTTAAATATATCCCCCCCCCCCCCCCCCACCTCAAGAATTTTCTATCAAAATGCAGTTCAGAATCAAATAATTATGATCAATTGATTATGCATCCATGACAGATGCAACTTCTTCCATGACATTCATGCCACTATGAAGCTCCACCTGGCACAGTGTAGGGCTGATATCCACTGGATTTACCTCTCCAACTCCAAGAATTGCAGCTGTTCCTCCTAAGTCGTTTTCCCCGAACGTATGGATGAGTTCCAGTTTCATTTCCATGTGTGACACTCCATAATCTGTTACTTCTAAAGCGGTGGCATCATTTGTACCCAGTTCCGGTCCCGCTTCATCAGTTGTAACGTCTATACTACCAGTGCTATCGCTCTTGGGGAGGAGCTTCCTCTTTTTGCGGGATTTCTTCTTGAGCCGAGCAGCCCGACCCCTTTTTGGCTTGAGAGCTGCCGCGGTCTCCTGGTGACTGATTCCCAGATCTGCCACCTTCTTCTTCAACGGAAGAACGGTGTAAGAGGAGTAGTCAGTCGGCCTGTTGTTGGACTTGGAAGGATCAGACTCGATGGCCAATAACGCGGTTCTTGCAGCTTTGAGCTCCGCTTCCTTCTTTGTTCTCGCGGATGCCCCAATGTACTTAACTCCCCCAATTTCAACAGTACAAGCATACATAGCAGGCTTGCCTGTTGCTTCCTCCTTTCGGCATTCATACAATGGAATCGCGAAATTCATCTTTTGTGCATATTCTTGTAATAGGTTTTTGCACAAGCCTGTGTCGTGCTGAAAGTACATCAAAATATATAAGGTCAAGCACTCAGATTTTACAATCTGAACCATCCATATGTTTGAATAAAGAGAGAAATACTATTTGGAAGTCTGAAACAGGCTAGACTAGTTATTTAACAATCAACAAAACAAGACACAGAAGGACTCTTCTCTTACGGGAAGTTCTCACATAGTAGCTCTTCGTGAACTAGGGAGAGAAGAAATGACCAAGCCATCAGCTAACAGTGTCGATTTTAGTCTAGTTTTACTAACAGATAGTATATCAATCACTACTATTACGGGGGTGTTTGGCAAATAGCTATTAGCTGATAGCCGTTAGCGGGTTTGATAGCTGATAGCATTAGTTGGCTGTAGAAAGATGTTTGGTAAATTAGTTGTTAGCTGATAGCTGATTACATGCAAAATGACCTTCAAGGGTATAATTTATTTTCTCAAAAAACTGATCGAAAAAACTGCTTTGAATAGCTTTTTGAATTTTATACATGAAACAAAATATCTCATACTCAATTGAGAATCTTATTACCATTTGAAAGCTTCATAACCAACACAAAATGCATACAAATTTATACCAAAAGGACCCAGAGTACTGAGTGGCTAATCGACATAATATATAGTACAACGGGAAACGGACTAAAGGAGTGTGTCAAGAATGGAGAAGAGAAACAAACCAATGAAAGATAGAGAGCACTTACCACTGGTTGCGAAATGCATTCTTTCCTTTCCCCAGACCGAGAAAGTTCGACGAGAGCAACTTCAGCAGCTGACTGCTCTGCTGCCTTGCGATTAAAAAATCCGGGTAGGGAATCATATCTGGTGTCGCTCACGATCACCGTCGACCTAAAAGTGGGTTCATGGGAAGGTCCTTCCTTTATAGTCTCATAAACAGGTGTAGGAAGTCCAACTTTCTGAGCATACTCTTGCAAGCGACTTTTGAACACATAACAGTTTGATACACCTATTACATATCAGAAGATCAGTAACAAGACACTAAGCTAAGATAATAACCATACAACAGTAAACACATACCAAACACTAGTGAATTTTATTTTTAGCTCAACAAATATGGTTGCAAACAGCTCATGGAAACAAAGGTCCAACACAAAAACACAACGCAAATATGAAAATACAAATGTCAGATTCATGTGCCAGAGATCATTAACTATATCACTATGTATGTATATATATAGGGGAGGGTGGTGAGAACACCTTCCTTGTAAAAAGTGTGGACATATCTTGACCCTTCATCTTGACAAATTTATTTTACCATAATTAACTCAACGCAAAATTGTATTTCAATAAATATACAATTAATTCAATAACAGTTATGTTTTAAAAACTTTAAATCTATACAAAAAATAAGGACCACAAGATCTTGATAAATGGAGGGTGTGGATATATCTTCTAGTTTGAAACCCTCTCTCTATATATATAGTGCATTCCCAGTTCCAAACAAAAAGCTGAAACCATTTTCCCAAGAGGAAAGTGATGGTTCTCTGTCCACCCAGATCTGATGCAAAGGCACAGCAGCACCAAGTCTCTAATTATAATTAGAATGGGTTGGTGTAAAATATTTGGTGATCATATATCTTAAAACAATGTTAAAATTATCATTGAAGGAGAACACACATATCTCCAATAGTTCAATAGAAAGTGCAGCCTTACAATCACTAACAAAGCCAAAAATAAAATAAAATTGGTGAATCAAGATTATTTGGCAAATTAATTAAAGTTCATATGTTTGGTAGCTTCCCCCAATTCAAGAATTGGGAGATCATAATTGATTCAGAAATTCTAAAATTTAGACAAGAAGAGAGAAATTATCAGATATCCACTAGATTCCGTTTTATTCTTACTCTTTTATTTCCATTATCACTCACAACCCTATTACTTACTAGCGTCGACCTAAAGCAGTAAAGCACCATTCTTTTTTAAGCTAACTTTTTGAAGATCAACAAACAATCAAACGAAAAGAAAGAATCAAATTTTTTTCTTTCTCCTTTTCACCATCCAAAAAAAATACTAATTTTTCCAAAAATATACTAAAATGCAGCCCAAATTTACTTTTCAAACAAATAGAAATTCAATTTTTAATTTTGTTTTTATAGTATTTTTATTTTTGCAGAATCAGAAGCATAACTAGGTACAACTGCAGAAGTATAAATGCATGTTTAATTGAGTTCAGCTAAAACTAATTTGACAATCTATAGTGATGCGTGGGGAGGGGCAGATGGAAGGGAGAAGTACCTTGGAAGCTCTCGCTAGCAGACATTTCAGGTCGGCGTTTCGGAATGAGAATCCGGCAAGGCAAGAGCTAAGCCGAGAGAAAACCGGACCACCTTTTTATCTTGAAGTGTCTGAGACCTGAGGGACATTTGGTTCGAGAAACTAAAGGGAATTTAGGGGATTTCAGTGGAGGTGTCTTTCACGTAAAAAAATAAAAAATTACAATTTATGTCCCTCTATAATATGTTAATTATCAATATCACCTATAAATATTAATGGTATTTTCAAAACAGTACATATATAGTCTCTTATAGTATAAATATTACCTTTAAATTTTTAACATAGTACATATATTGTCCATCCTGTAAAGTACGGGATGAGCAATATATATACCATTTTGAAAATTAAAATGCAACATTTACACTACTAATAATTTAATGGTGACATTGATAATTAACATATTATGAAAGGATATAAATTATAATTTTCACAATAAAAATATATTTAAAAAATTCATATCACAGCTTTCAACGCTTGAGATGACAATTTTACCCACACCGTATGAGGTCCTTGGATCTTTGCCTAACTGGGTATTAAAATATTCGCACTATTTAGATAATATAAGTGCAGGGATGGAAATAAAAATTATACATACGTGGTGCGTATAAGTATATATAGATTACGGGTTATATGCGAAATTTTCTTTAGATAAAAAATAAGGTTCAATCTCATCTATTGATCTAGACATCCATTCCAGATCAAGGGTGTAAAATGAAGACAATTAAAAAAAAAAAAAAAATTGATGTGGTATTATGAAAAATTTGCGTAAGTTAGTTCAATTGTTCTTTTATCTTTGAGTGCACAATTTTTCTTCATCAAGTGCACATTTTCTTCAAGTGCATATTTCTCATTCTTCAAGTGGATATGTTTTAATGTTTTAACAGGTTGGTTCTACAACCCATTGCTAAGTACCGTGAAATAAGGGAAGGAAACGGATTCAATAATCCCGTGAAGATTAATAAACATTTTGTACTTTCAGTGCACAATTTTGTGTCTTCGAGTGCACATTGTTGTGTATTTCAGTGCACATGTTGTGCCTTCTAGTGCATATTGTAACAAGCTCAATAGATCCGTTGCTAAATCTCGTGAAAGATGGAAGGAAACAGGTTCAATAATTCCGTGAAGATTAATACACATTTTCCTTCGTCAAGTGCATATTTTTGTGCATTCAAGCAAAATTTTTTGTGCTTTCAAGTTCACAGTTTTTGTTAATTCGAATTTTAACTTAAAAAAAAAAAAAAAAAAAAAAAAAAAAAAAAAAAAAAAAAAAAACATTAGAACTATATGAATTTAATGGTTGAGATTTGTACTCATTTTTCACTTGAGGAGTCCTTCGCACCTGATCCTAGACACACATATAAAATAAATACATGTAATTAAAAATGCATAATGAATTGAAGTTTTTTGTACTAGTGCATCGGGAAATCAAATGCATTAACATCTCATTGTCTTAGTTTGAGAAAATTGTAGTTTATGCCACTCACAAATATGTTAATTATCAATGTTACTTCTAAATTATTAGTGGTGTAAATATTGTCCATCAATTTTCAAAATGTGACATATATTGTCCATCTCGGAAGAATGAGAAACATTGTTGTATGCAGAAGTAGAACAAACAAAGAAAGAAAATGTGGTATTTGAACAGGAAAGACGGCGAATAACTGCATTTACACCATTAATAATTCAGGGGAGGGGTAATATATGTCACATTTTGAAAATTGAGGGACAACATTTACATCATTAATAATTCAGGGGTGACGTTGATAACTTGACATATTTGTGAGGTACATAAATCATCCGAAACAGCCAAAACTATCATGCCAAACAAATGAGAGACTTTTATATTTTTGTTCAATTTAGTTTTTTTGTACGGTGTACTACTTTTTACTGTTGCAAAAATCGGTCTAGGCGCCCGCCTAGGCTCTAGGTGCCCCTAGACCGTGGCGGTTTTCCCCCTAGGCGTCCGTCTAGCGCCTAACTCGGCCGATTTGGCCGCCTAGCGTCTAACTTAGCCGAGTTAATTTGTCCATTTCGGTCAAGTTAACCCGATCAGCTCGGCCTAGCTAATTATTTATCATTATATATATATATATATATATATATATATATATATATATATATATATATATATGTATGTGTATACACATACATACATATAATCATATATACACCCGTAGATTAGTTTGATATTTTGAATCTTTGGATGATTGAAATATTTGAGTATTTAATACAGAGTATTTGAGTATTTTTAATTTTTAATATTATTTTGATGTTATGACTTATGAATTATCATTATTTCATTTATTTGGATGTGTTATTTGATTGAATGTTGAAAACAACCTCATTAAAATTGTCAAACTGCAAGTCTACCACTGTTTTTTTTGTGCCCGCCTAGCGCTGCCTAGGCCGCTTAGGCGCTAGACGCTGCTCGGGTGCCCGACTAGCGCCTAGCGCCTACTGCAATATTGCTTTTTATACATAAAAAATAATAATAATAACACTTTTACGATTGTGAAATATGGTAGACTCCTTGTGAACACAAGATTGAACTATGATAATCGTAGTGTGAGAGTTCCACCTAATATGGTGGACTCCTTGTAGGCACCAAACAATGGTCTTCCCACCTAATGGATCGTTGAATTACCATGATTTAGCCATTTACTATCTTGTTGCTTCGGAGTATGAAGATCCTATGAAAAAAGAAAGTTCTCATTTTGTGGACAATAAAAGTTAAGATGGTCGCGAGAGTTCGAGCCTTAGTGAAGGCGTTATTGGCTCTTTGTGCTTCAGTAGGTGTTAGTAGCATTAAAAAAAAAAAACAAAAAGTTAAGATAGTCATCAAAAGTTAGGAACTTTCAATATATTGAAATACAAAATATAGAATTGTGTAATTTACATACTCATACATCAGCTTCGCCAGAAACACTCTATGGTTTGGGACTCCGTCCCCCGCTATTGCTTTACTCATTCATTAATATATAGGTATGCCTTATTTTTTTTTTTTTTTAAAAGGTAACTATGATAATTAAAATTATTAGTTTTAAAATAATGGAGATGCTATATTCATCATGTTATATTCATTGCACTGGTGATACACTTTGAAAACTTAGAACTTGATTTGCGATATCCATCCGTTACAGACAACCCAACTGGGATTGTTTGTCTCTATTTCATAATCGTAAAGTGTAATTATTATTATTATAATTTTTATTTTTATTTTTATTTTTATTTTTATTTTTATGTATGAAAAAAGAATTAAATTGAACAAAAGTATAAAAAGTTCCTCACTTGTTTGGCATGATAGTTTTGGTTGTTCCCTAATCCGGGTTATAGGTGGGCCCCACTGTATATAATCCGGGTTAGGCGGTTGGCTCATTGTAATGGAGTGGGAATAGGAAAATTGCCGAATTGGGGATTGCGCCATTTTAAGTAGTAAAATTACCGTGATATCCCCCGTGCATGGTGATTGGTGAAACCCTAGCCCCACCCTCGTCCGGTGCATTCCATCAGTTGCTGCAGATTTCAGATTTCATCGTCTCTTCTTTTTACCTTTTTCCCGACTCCATTATTGAAATTCTCCCCTCAGCGGAATAAATTCATTCGCGTTCTTAACTCAAGAAGAAGAAAGGTATCTCTTGTTATCCGTCTTTATGTTTTGATTTGATTTATCCGTTTTTTTTTTTTTTTTTTTTTTTTTTTTTTTTTTTTGGCTAATTCAGAAAGTTGATAGTTTAATTTCATTAAGCATAAACCCTAATTTCAGCAATTTGATTGTTTCGACTTTGCACCCACTTAACTTCGTCGAATCATAAGACCGCCAACGTATGCAGGAATCATAAGCTTTCAATTTTTTGCTGTTTTTTTAGGTATATCTGCATAATGGAGGAATCAGAAAAGAGGAGAGAAAGGCTGAAGGCAATGCGACTGGAAGCGGCGCAGGCAGGAACTCAGGATGAAGCTGAGATTTCTATGGACCTAGCCAACCCACTAATTGAATCTCAGACGGCTCAGCCTAGCATAGCTGAGCCGTATTCAAGACCGAGATTCGACTTCTATACTGACCCCATGGCAGCCTACTCTGCAGACAAGAGGAAGAGCAAGCACAGCCCTCCGGTCTCACAACCATTTTCCACACCTCCAAGTAATTGTGTTTTCTTCTTGAGTCGTCTATTTTATCTGTTTTTGCAGTTAATTGTTCATAGCCTTCAGGCGTGTGATATGCTATCTTTGATTTTTTTGGCACTGTCTTTCAAACACCCTGAAATAAGGCTTTTTCACATTAATTACTGAATTTGGGTTTCTTTAGAAGAAAAACATGACTCTTTTTTATAATTTATGTTATGACATGTAACAGAGGGTGATGCTAACATTGTAGAATGTTTCTGTTGACTTGTTGAGCATTATCACAGAATATCTCCAATGATCAAATGTGTGGATTATATTTTGCATATGCTGATATGCAACAAGTTTACTGCTAGAAGTTGTCTGGTATTAGGAAAACTAGAGTGTATAAATTTCAAGGTATCAACTTGTTCTTCTTGTAGCTTGGTAGCCCGGTGGTCCCGGAAGGAAGGGTATAGGTTCTAATTAAATTTTATGATGATGAATTGATGATACAACAAATAAATTTCCCTGTGAATGTTTGGGATTTAAACTTACTCTGTGGCTGGATTCGAGTATTGGACTTGTGATTAATGTTGTCATGGAGTATTAGAACCTATTTTCTATGTTTTCTTGATAACCTTTAGAAAAAATTTACACTATGAGCATTGCTGATATTTTGGTTTTGCAGGACCGGGGCACTCAGACTCTCCAGCTTATCATGCTCAGGGAAGCTACTTTCTAGATCAAAGGCCACAACAAGCACATGGAGTACATAATACCTTTAGCCCACTGCAAAGTAGTTTGCCTGGCACACTACCAGAAAATCCTCCTAATGTTTGGGGTAGTCCTGGTGGCATACATACCAGCAACTTTCCACCTAATTACCCAAGATTCAGTAACTTTGCAAACCATAGTCATGGACGAGGCCCTGGTTTTGATCACGCGCGAGGAAGTCCTGGTTTTGTTCATGGGCGAGGTAGTCCTGGTTTTGTTCATGGGCG